GCCTCTCTCCACTTGGTCTGGAGGGAAACACCTGAATCATTCCTACCTTCCTCTCCCACACCTGCCATACCACAGGTGCAATGAGAAAAAAAAAAAAAAAAAAAAATCGTTGACATCTCAAATCAGGCCAGTCACTGCAGGTAACAGGCTATACTTCCTCCTCAAAGCGCTTGAAGGTAAGTAAGCCTCAGACTGAAAGCCTCCTGAGAGTAGAGACCATGCTTCTGAATCACTTCTCGGTGAATTAATGCGGCTCCCACACAAGAAGGCACCTAATGAATCTTTTTTTTTTAAGAGAATATATCAATGAACAAGTGAATCCATGTGTAAATGAATGAATGAATGACCTAGACAAGTAAGGACTTAAAAACAAACAAGCAAACCCCTCTTGTTATAATGAGGAAATCAGGTTTAGGAAGGGCGGCAACCTAGAGAGGGCCTCCCAGATGTTCACATGGTAGAGTTAGAGCCGTCCTTCCCGAGATGGTTCCTTCCTGGCCCTGGAAGCTTAGAGGAACTGAGCAGAATAGAAAGCTGGATGGGCAAGACGCAGGCTGAGGCCCAGGCAGATGGAGCCTCTGCCCCGAAGGAAGGACTTTCCTGGAATTATTCTGCCTCCAGGTGGAGAAATACAGAAGCCTAATTGGCTTTCTCGGATCCTGGAGCTGGGTTCATAAATCACGGCTCCATTGAAGATACAGACGCCTTGTCTCTGGAGACCTGGGTGTGACTTGGTGCAGACTCCTAGTGACATGAAGAGGCTTACAGCCTCCATGTGTGGGTGCCTAAGTCACCCCTGCCCAGAATAGAACACGCCACCCTCTCGACAAGGTCCACTAGTCAGCTGTGGTGCACTGCTCGGTACTCCATGCTCAAGTACTCAGGCACCCAAGGGAGAAGCTGGTAGAGGAGAGGTCCAGGAATGCAGAGTGGGAGCGTGGCGAAGGCCCAGAAAGCCTTCCTTTTCTAAATTCAATCCTATTCACCATTTGTTGAGGGCCTACCCTGTGCCAGATACTGTGCAGGGCTCTGGGGACCCTGGGGGCGGGGGGGGGGGGGGGGGGGGGATGGCTCCGATGCAGAGGAGAAAGGGGAGAGGCAGCTACGGAGACAATCCTCACAACATGGGTGATAAGTGCTTTAGAGGGAGTACAAAGTGCTCTGGGAGCTCAGAGCAGCGGGCCATTCATTCTTCCGCTGCTGGAAGAGTTCGGGAAAATGCACAGGGAGGGGCTGTTTTGGCTAGGTTTGGTGGGCTTTGAGGTAGGAGGTGGAGGGAAGGACGCACCATGCAGAGAGGAGCCTGTGCAGAGACCGGGTGAAGGAGAAAACCTTGATGTGGTGTAGCAGATGGGGAGGCAGGAGGATCGCCGGACAGCAAGCTGCAGGCCAGAATCAGAAAGGCCATGAATGATCGTACTAGAGTGCCTGGACCTAGTCCAGCCGTGGGCAAAAGGGGAGCCATTGAAGAATTTTAAGCAGGGGTGTGTGTGGGGGTGGGGGGAGGGGTGGCAGGGCCAGATTTGTGTTTTAGAAAGCCTTCTCCGGGGAGAGAGAATGAACTAGAACTGTGGCCAACAGGCAGAGAGAGAAGAAAATGTGTCCTAGGGACCCTTTGGAGAAAAGATGGGCAGGGCTTTTCCTTCCTAAGTAATGCTTTTGCACTCTCTTTGCCTTTCCACTCAGGCTGCGTTCCCCTGGGGAGGAGGGCTGCTTCCTCCATTCTCTCTGGTCAGCCAAGGGCTTCTGCATTCACGAAGCTGAACCTACAGGGTCTGAGTGAACGGCTCCAACAGTTCTGACTCCTTCTGCGAGCCTGTGCTAGCGACGTCTCCCTACTCCATCCACAAGCCCCATGGAGTGGTAAGCTTAGCCTAGGCCTCTGGGGAAGGCCCGAAAGATCCTCCCTCCCTCCCTCTTCTTCCTTCCCTCTCCCTTCTTCTTCTTCCCTCTCTTCCCTCCCTCCTCCCTGGAGCCCAGGCTTTCTTGCTGGGAGCTCTCAGAACCAGCAGAGCTGTGGATGAAATGGTTCGGTGGCTCCAGCCCAGCTGCTGCCATGGCAACCAGGCTGCCTGCCAGACCCACAGCCGGGAGCGGGCCCAGTTTCCTGCTCCAGAACTACATTTCCCAGCATGCAAAGCACCTGTAGGGATGAAAGAAATCCACCCCCTGCCTGGGTTCAGCCTAAAAGGTGCATGGAAGAACAAAGTGCAGGGAACCCCCAGCCCCTCCCTCCCCCTAGCGCCGCATCCCCCCCCCCCCCCCCGTGAAAGCAAGGAGCACATCTGTGTCTGGAGGAGGCCTGGAAGCCTTCTCCTTGGTGACCTGCCTGCTTGACAAGGAAGCCAATGACTATAAGAAAGGGCAAGGTTAAGGATAAGGTTAAGATGCTTGCCCTGGTTTTGTCCTCGATCCATGCATGGTGTCAATTGAAAACATTCTCTCACACAGTGTTCACTACTCTCCATCTCGGCCTTCACCTTGAGGGACCAAGTCTGAATGGCTACAACGCACAGCCGATTGGCCTGTTTGTCTCTCCCCAAGTCCCTTTCTCCTTCTTCCACAGAAGCCATAATGACCTTTTCTTTTTCTTTTTTCCTTTTTCAAAGATTTATTTGTTTATTATTTATACAGTGTTCTGCCTGCATGTGTCCCTGCAGGCCAGAAGAGGGCGCCAGATCTCATTACAGGTGGTTGTGAGCCACCATGTGGTTGTTGGGAATTGAACTCAGGACCTCTGGAAAAGCAGTCAGTGCTCTTAACCGCTGAGCCATCTCTCTAGCCCCCCATAATGACCTTTTCAAAATGCAATTCTATCCTATCACTGCTGATGGTGCCTACGCCCTATGCTGTTGAAACTCTTCAGTGTTTAAATCCGTGGCTTGCTGACGTGGAAACAAGTCGCTCAGGTTCAGTTAACAAGGCTCTGCATGGTGATCTGGCCTCTGTCTGCTTCCAGGCACCCTCAAAGACCCCTCACATGTCAGCCATATTGGTCTTTTGTTTCCTTCTAGAGGCCATACCCTGTCCTGATGCAGGGCCTTTGCACATGGTGTTACCTCTCTCCAGAACACTTTTTCTTCTGCCTTGGCTCCATATAGACTTTCTGACCTCAGAGTAATATCATCCTTAAGGGTATTCTCTTGTAAGGAAACGCTGATACCACAGCTTGCTTGCCCCGTACTCTTGTGTATTCTTGGCTCGGTCAGGCCCTTCCTTACAGCACTTGACACATTTGTGCCTGTACATGAATCTATACAACCACTTGACACCCATGCATGTCACCCTAAGTTTATAGCCTCTCTGAGGGGAGAGAGATGACCTCTCAGCCTTTCAACACATCCTCAGGGCTTTGAGAATGGCTGTTCAGGAACCACTCCTCAAAACAAATGGACTTGCCTAAGCCTTAGTCTTCCCATCTCAAAGCCTGCAATATGCCCTGCCCTGTGGGTAGTAGTACCAGAGACCCCCTCAGTGGGCAAGACTCAGACGCTCCTATCGTGAGGCTCTCAGTCCAGAGAAGAAGACAGATACCAGATATCTCTTTGGTAATCGAGTGCGCAGTATGCCAACAGCACAGAGCCAGAGATGCAGAAAGGTCCATGAAGACTGAAGGGTAGGAGTGATTTAAGATGCAAAGGGGTATCGTGTACAGAGCAATGGATGCTTCTAAGGCACCCAGAGCATGCATTATTTGAGGTATTATGTAAGACAGGGCTGCTGGAGTGTAGGTTGGGTGGGAAGTGGTGGTAGCTCTGTCATGCCTTGGTTTTCTTGGGCAGTAATGGGATGGGTGAGCTATTTTTTTCAACCTACTGGACCTTGGCTTTCATATCACCCCCACAAATTCCAACATTTCTCAGTCTAGGCTGAAACACAGAATGGATATATTCAGGCTGTACCATGACTCAGGCAAACCGCTCTTCATTCTTGAGCACCTATTACTATATGCGGAGTGTCTAATGAGGACCTTGACCATGTCTGATATTATGATGGGGTTGTGTTGTAATGTGTGTGTGTGTGTGTGTGTGTAGGCTGATATACTGGCATAGCATCCAATCAGTAATGGGACACAGATTGCTGACAATTGGGGGGAGGCCCCTGAAAAAGCAGGGAACCTAGCCTGGGGTATGGGGTGGGTGCACAGCTTGCCGGGGAAATGAGGCATGACTGACCAGCTGCAGAGTCTCAGTTGGCCTGGAGCAGGAAGGGATCCTTCCCATTCTCACAGCTGTTGCTGTCCTCCTCTTCCTCAGAAGTCGTGGGCAGGTAGAAGATCTGCCCGCTGTGGCTAGCTTTATCCCTGAATGCTTACCTGTCAGCCGCTTCAAGTTTGGGAAATGAACTAGAGTAGACATAATTGGCATTTGCCTCCCCATTCCATTGCAAGGATTCTAACCACTACACACACACACACACACACACACACACACACACACACACACACACACTTTACTCGGGCAGGAGCCAGGAGCCTCTGGCTGACCTGTTTCCCACAAAACCACTTTAGAATTACGTGAAATGTGTAGAGAAATGCAGACGACAAGTGTTGTGTAGGTCACATCTCAAGAAGCTTTGTTCTGGAGGGCGCCTAATTTTCCTAAAGAGCTCCTGAAGCATTCCCTCACTGGAAATTGTCTCTTTAAATCTAGCCAGTGGTGGTGACCTTAAGGACCCACCCCCAAACCAGGCAGCCTTCCATTTGCCTTCAAATTTGTGCCAGGATGCCAAGCCAGCCTTGCCCCTTGGCCATCCCTTTCCAAATCCCCGCCTCACCACACGTTCTATAAACACTTTACCAAGAGCCTACTGTGTGCTCGAGTTCTGGGAAGAACACAGCGACAATGACCTCTGCTCTCACATACCATAGAAAAGAATAACTAAGTAGGGTAATGGTGGTATGTATTGTGAAGACAATAAAGCCATCATCTGGTAGGAAATGCCTAGGTACCTGTTTAACTCAGGCTTCAGGAAAGGAAAGGGGGCTGTCTTGGTACCTGTGGCTCTAGGGAAGGTTCTGGAAATAAAACAGATAAACCGTTCCTCTCCTTTGCTACTGTTTTTGTCTACTCTTGTCTCTGGCTCAGCTTGCTTTTCTGCTTCAACACTCTCTTTGTCTCATTTCTACTCTCCTTTGCTGGTCCCCCCACCTCCCACTCCCATCGCCTGCCTCTTCTCTACTCCCTCCAGAGGAGCTGAAGAAACCAGATCTCTCTTGCTCTCAGGCCAGCCAGCAGTAATTGAGCCGTGGGCTTGCTTAGCTGATGGGCCTGTGAATAAGGCTAGCAGAGGAGAGCAGCGAGGTCAGGGGGAAGCCTGAGGTACTGGAGAGCTGGAGGGATGGAGTGGGGGAGGGGCCTGGTGAGCTCCAGGGCACTCTGAGGGGCTGGAGGTGGCCGCTGAGCCAGGTAATCTAATCAGGGGGTAAGTCATAAAGATCACTCACTCTGTGCCCAGGACCAGCCTAGGAAATCACATTAATTTGAAGAGGGTGTAAAATCCACAGAGAATTCCCCTCTCTCCACCACACACATGAAGATAAACTGTCTTCAGCTTCCAATATGATCTTACAACAGCTTGTCAGTGACAAAACAGCCTCAAATCCTCCCATTTATCAAACGGCCAATCCTGTTAGCAGCTTAAAAGAGACATAATTACCTGCGGCCCTTTGTGTGATGCTTTCAACTAACGCTGCGTCCTTCTTCCTGGCAGCGGTCCAGAACATGAGCTCAGAATTCATCCCCGAGATGAGGAGGTCTTCAGAGATGTTGGGGTTGGTGGTCAGGAGTGCAGGGTTGAGAGGCAAGGCAAGGCGTGGGATGAGGGTTAGCACCATGGACAGAGTCTTGGGGGCCGGCCAGTGAAGAGGCACCCAGCTCAAGGCTCAGGAGTCCAGCTGGGGGCCCTGTGGATATTTGGTGGGCTATGTTCCAGCTGCTTCTACTACAGAGAAGTTAATAGAGCCCTAGGCCCATGATGCACCAGCACTGGCTGTGGGAGCATACATAAATGGGCCTGTAGATGGAAAATCAGTACAGTTCTTCACCCTCTGGCAGAGATAGGAGTCCCCACCGTGGCTGACATGTTTTGTGTTTCTGTGACTTCAGAATCTGTCTTGCTGTTACACCAGGAAGAACAGCAGGAGTCCCTAGCTAATGTTCACCAACGAGTGCCTGCTCTGGGCCAGGCCCAGGTTTGTGCTAATTAAGATAATGTGTCATACTGGATCATGATTCTATTTTCCCAGTTTTTTAGATAAGGAAGTGTCCAAGCCAGTGAGGGAGGATTCACATCGATAATCTACGATCTGAGCCATCTCCAAGCAGGCTTTGTTATAAAGACAGCTCATTCCTGTGCCTCTGGGATGGTCTCTTACCCGCTCTACACTTTCTTCTGTTTTTCAGGGAGCCCCCCCCTCCCCTAGGCCAATCTCCCCTCCCATTGGAAGGATGTGAGAACCACACACATGGCTTTCCCTTTAGAGAGGACATGATTCCTTGGAAGCCTGGTTGTTCCTGGTAAGAGGTGTCCCACAAACTCCTAAGTGCATTTCCACAGCCCCCTCCCTCTCTGCTACTACGGGTCCTTGCTGTAGCTGCACCCTGCACATGGTGGGGGGGGCGGCGCCCTGCACCATCCTGCCCTGCCCTGCCCTCCTCACTTGTCACTGCCAAATCCCTCCTGGCTTCCCACTTTCCTAAGATTTTCTCCATTTTCCAGGAAGCCCAAGCAAATCCTCTCCTGGGAGGAAACCATCAGAGTTCATTTGGAAGCCAGATAAAGAGGCAGACAGTGAGACAGACAGCAAGAGACAGACGAGAGACAGGCAGAAAATGGATTTTGAAGTGCCGTTGAGCCAATGATTGTGGTCAAATCCTGTTGAGAGACAAGATATCTGTGTATCTGGTAAAGTGATCTAGGGCTAACTTTCCCCAGTTCCCTCGGCCCACCAGCCCTTTCTCCTTGCCCCTGTCCTTCCCTAAGCTGTCTCCCAGACTAGCATCCTACCCCCATCCCACCCCATCCTGCCTCAGGGCATTCATCACTTGGACTAGTGATTTATCAAAGGCCCTGACAGTCCCTGTTTGGCAAAAATCGATCTGTGAAGAATGGGACCAACCCAAGGCCCCCTCTTCTTCCAAACCCCCACCATCAATCTGCCCCAAAGGAGCCCCTCAGCTCAGCATCAGCGGTGCCCCAGGCTGGGGCGGGTCTCTGTATTCTTTGCTGTTCTTAAGAAGGAAAAGGAGGGAGAAAGAGCTAAGAAGAAAGGGAGAGAGAGAGGGAGGAAAGGGAGAGGGAGAGAGAGGTGGGGGAGAGAGAGGAGATTAGTGCCTTCTCCCAGATGTTTATTTTGTTGTTTTTAAGTGAGAAAGTCCCAGCTCTATTAAATGCAATCAATACTTGGCCCAAGAGAAGCTTCCCTTCTCTAAGACATTTGAAATCTGGTCAAATCATTTTGCCCTGATACAAAGTAATTTATCAATTTCAAAACCCTTCTAATCAGTGGAGGCTGTGGAGTCTCCATTCCTGCCTGCCTGCTTTTGCTGTAACACACACACACACACACACACACACACACACACACACACACACACACACACACACACCTCTTTCTATCCTTCCTCTCCTCCCTCCCTTCCCTCTCCCAGCAATGGCAGATTGACCTCTCAGCGCTCAGGACAGCCTCCAGGCCAGGTATCATCCTTGCATCTCTAGCCCAGTCTGGATGCTCCTCACCCGGCAGGTCTTACACTCAGCCCTGGGGCACGGGAATGGCTGAAACTACAGCCACAGGGACAAACACTTTCTTCTTCTTCTCCTAGTGGCTATCAGCTGGGGATAGCAATGTCTTGTTCTTAGACAGAGCCCAGAACTGGGGCCAAGACGCTAGATGGGACCTTTGGGCCACCAAGCTTGTCCCTTAGGACCTTGGCGCATGTTTCCAAGGGACAAGGGAGACCGACTGGCTGGAGAGGGGTTGATGAATCTGGCTGAATCTGGGGATGATGTCACAATACTTTCCTGCCTGCAAAACTGCTATTTTGGCCCTCGAGACAGGTTGTGTCTGAAGGGAAATTGTGACAGCAGCAAAATCACCTTGCGACTCACCCTCCCCTTCCCAGAAGAGTGGCTTCAGCCTTTGCAACACCATTAGATTGGATTCTCGGCAGGTCCTTTGTGACCGCCAGCTGTGGTAGCCAGATAGGCCTCTGACCTGTGGGGAGAGGCCACCCACTAAAGAGCTGATTCAAGTGGTCTCACAATTGTCCCTGCGTCCCCTGGCCTCAGAGGTGACTGAGCGAAGCGACTCAGCTGGCCAGAAGTCACCACAAGGTAACTCACAAGCATACGAGCTCTCAGAGACCTTTACTCACAGGACGGTAAATCTAGAAGCCTGACTTTGGCCTTCTCGCTCCTCTGCCAGACCTAACCTGAAATCTCTAGTAGACCTTCCATACCTCGAGTTTGGAAGACACCCTGTAAACATGTATGCAATTATTGAATGGAGGGAGATCTCCACGGAGCTCGGCCCTTTGCTCTGTGCCTTCTCTTCCATAGCTATCATTGGTCATCTAGGAACAGAACTTCGGGGCCCTCGCAGCTCCTTGCCCAGAGCTCTCTTCCAAGTAATGTTAAACTAGAGTGAATACAGCGTCCTACGGTTTATGAGGTGTTTTAATATTAACTGTCTAATTTAATTCTACAATAATGCTGGGGGATACGTATTATCCTATTTTATAGCAAGAGAATTCAAGGTTCACAGAGGTGAAGTCACTTGTCCCAAGTCACGCACAGAGCAAATAACAAACCCAGGCAATCTAACCAAGTTCTCTCAACTCAGACCCTAAATCTTTTCACTGTTGTTACTCATTATATAGGCATTAAGCATCTTCTTCATGGCAAACTCTCCGTTTTCTTCATGGCAACTTAAAACCGGATGATATTACACTCCTGCATGCTTTCTTTCTGTAGGTTTTTTTTTTTTTTTGGTTGGTTGCTTGTTTTTGAGACTGAGTCTCACCCCGTCCGTCGCCCAGGCAAGCCTGAAACTCTTTGCACCCTCCCTGCCTTGACCTGCTAAGTGCTGGGATGACAAGTGTGAGTCTTGGTGTTCCACTTGACATGTTTTTTTTCCTATAGATTGGGAACTAGAGGTGCAATAATTGGCTAAAGATAGCACAGTAAATAAGAGATGGAGGTAGATTTAACCTAGGTCTCTCGATCTCAAATCCTAGGTCTTTCCCATTACAACATAAAACCTTTAACAGTGATGTTCAGAAAGGGCCTGATAAATGCCAAGCCCTTTTCCATTTAATCTTTGTAAAATTCACTTCCTTCTTCGAAATGAAGAAATCAAAACTTTGAAAAGTTGCCTGTCTGATACATGACTGGGATTTGAACTCCTGTCTCTGGGTGCAGAATAGCAGCTTGGCTGTTCTAACTTACTGATCTAGCAACCAGTTTATCAACTGGGTGTCTTGCCAGTGTTCAGGCAGGGCTCATGGCACAGCAGGAAGAGGAGCTGTCAAGGATGGGCTTCCAGAGCATGGCTGGCCCCTGGTCCACACTGTCCCTGCCAAGCCCTCTGTATCTGATCATTACTGCTCCACTTTCTGATCAGTCACTCATGCCAAGGCCTGGGCACATAACTCTATGGGATCCTCATATAATCCCATGACAATATCTTCCCCATTTGAAGGATATGGAGACCAGAGCTCAGAGAGATCAGCAAGTTGTCCCTGGACACAGCGTATCAAAGAACTATCAGAGTAAAGGCCCTGCTGTTTTCCTGGGTCCTCAGACCACCTCCAGTCCCATTATGCATGCGTGTGTGCGTGCGTGCGTGCGTGCGTGCGTGCGTGCACACCCGTGTGCATCATCTTCCAGGTTGTTTAGGAAGAGAACTGTCACTAAGGAACACTGCAGTTGCCAGAGGACCCCAATACTTCGCATAGACATGTAAATCCAAGGTAAACTGCTGGGAGACAATTTGAACTGGTAGTCACTGAAGAAGTAGATGGGACAGCAGCTGACTTAGGGAATACCCCAGGGCTAGGAGCCTTCATTTCCATTCCTGTCCAGCTAAAGACTTCCCACCCTTCCTCTGGAAATCAACACCCCCCACCCCCACTACCAAAGAATAGCTGTAGCACCATTTGGCTCAGGACTTACCCTGATTGCTTCCCACATTGATGGATGAATGTGGTTCTACAAATTGGAAAAATAACTAATGTGCAGCTCCCAGACCCTGCTGCCTATGGGTGGAGGGGGCTCTTCTGGATTAACCCAAGACCTGGGAGGAATCAGTCCACTGCATACCAACCCAAAGAGGCAGCGGGAGAGGCTCGCAGCCTGGTGGGGGTGGATTTCGATTTCCTACAGGGTTTCTCTGTGTCACCTCTCATCACCATAATATTTACATCAAATGCAAAAGGCCTCCTTGGAATAGAACCCTGAGGTTGTAAATGCCAAATCTAAGAATGTCAGCAAATGCAAAAGATCAGGTTCCTTGAGCAGCAGCCTCCCCCTCCTCCGGGCGATGCCTGCTGCAACCCTGAGGGCAGGCAAAGCAGGCTCCGGAGCTTCCCCGAACCTCACCCCAAATCTGGAAAGGCTGGGGGACACCCAGGGGGGCCCAAGGGCCCTCATCTCTGATTCAGCAACACCCAGTAACTTCATCCCATCCACCTGACTTCATGAAATGTCTGAGGAAGTGTGTCCACATACATTCTCCATTCAGCAAGGGAGGCCAGGCTACCTCATGGACAGACAGACAGCCTGGCTGCCCAGTGATCAGGCTGCAGCGTACTCCACGGCCCATTGGCTGAGTTCTCTCCATACCCTGTTCCTCACCCCCATCTTCATGTCACTCTTGAGGCCCCTGAAGCGTCTCAGAGACCACTCACTTATCAAACATTTATTGAACACTTATTAAGCACCAAGCCCTGGGAATACCATGGTGAACAAACAAGGTTTCTTCCCCGAAGGAACTTCGGTTCTAGCTACAAGACAGCCGATGATTAAGGTGAGGAATAAATAATTTTAATTGCTGTGAAGAAAATAAATTGGGGCGGAAGGAGGGAGAGGCCACTGGTGCCGCGTCGGTAGGGAAAGGCCTCTCTGAGGAGGTGGCATTTGACCTGAAAAATGAGAAGCTGCCCCACGGAGATTTGCAGGAAAAGTGAGCAAAGCAGCAGTGTAGTGAGGGCAAGGGCCTTGAGAAGAGAGGAGCATGTGTGCTGAGGCTCCGAAAAGAGGCCACCAGCCATGTGGAGCGGGCGATAGAGCAGGAGGGGCTGAGGTTAGGGCTGCGCGGACTTGCTGAGCTTGGAAAGGAAAACGGATTCTTCTTAACGGCACCGGCAAGCTGTGGGAGCGCTATAAGCAGGGAATGGTGCTATTTGACTTCCATTTAAATTTTTGCTAAGATTTAAAAACAAAACAAGCCGGGCAGTGGTGGCACACGCCTTTAATCCCAGCCCTTGGAAGGCAGAGGCAGGCGGATCTCTGTGAGTTCGAGGCCAGCCTGGTCTACAAAGCGAGTTCCAGGACAGGCTCCAAAGCTACACAGAGAAACCCTGTCTTGAACCCCTCCCCCCACAAACAAACAAACAAACAAACAAACAAAGTCCCAAACCCCTCCCACCTTGGTCCAGGACTGGCTTTGTAAGCTTCATTTTGTTAAACTTCAGTTCCCTTAAGAACTCTTGGGTGGGAGAGGGGGCTGGAAAGATGGATGGCCCTGTGGTTAAGAATGCTTGCTGCGGGCTGGAGAGATGGCTCAGCGGGTAAGAGCATTGGCTGTCCTAGCAGAGGACCTGAGTTCAATTCTCAGCAACCACTTGGTGGCTCCCAACCATCTGTAATGAGATCTGGCGTCCTCTTCTGGCCTGCAGGCAGAACACAATATACATAATAAATAAATCTAAAAGAATGCTTGCTGCTCTTTCAGGGCACCTGAGTCAGTTCCCACACCCTCAACAGGTGCCTCACAACTGCCTGGAACTCCAACTCTCTCTTCTGGCTTCCATGAGCAACAGCACACATGGCACACACACACACACACACACACACACACACACACACACACACACACATTAAATAAAAATGTTTATTTAAAAAAAAGAGCTTTTGGGTAATATGAGTTCGTTTTTTAGAGGATATGTAGGGTAGGAACTGTCACCAGCTGGTGCGTAGTTAATGTCTCATTTTGTCCCAGTCTTCTTTCTCTAGGTTCTAGCCTAGGCTCTGCTTCTCCTTAGCTACCGTATTACCCACTAGGGACATCCCCAGACCCAGCATGGATCCTAGAGCAGAGTGGTGTGGGGCTCCATGTACTGGCATCAGGACCAGCTGAGATGGCCCTGGGATTCCTCTCACCCAGGGCCCCATTATTTGATGTGCTACTCTCTGAAAACCAAAATATCAGAGCCTAGACTAGATTGTCCAAAGGACTGTGTGCTGCTGGGTACACTGGACCCATTTGCATTCAGACACATTATTTGTTCATGTCATTGGCTGCTGCAAAATGGCGGGCCCCATGTGCAAGGGAAAGACTGTCATTCATGGAGGTTGTGCTTCATACACTCACGGCTCTTCATCTCCAAATCCTTTGCACGTGACCCTTGACCCAAGAAGTTGCCTAGGAAAGGATTGGGAGAACAAACTTGAAGTAACTGAAGGGAGTGAATGGGGAAGGGAATTAGAAAATGAGGCAAGGCTGAGAGCGAGCAGAGGGTCCCCACTTTTCCTCCTGGGTCAGGCTCATACTGCAGTCACCTCCAAAGCTGGAAGAGGTGGCGGTCCCCAGGGAAGAATTTGTCAACCAGCTGCCTGGGTACCCACAAATCCACATGACTGGCTTCTAGGAGCAGGATGTTTTTTTTCTCCTGCATCCCTCCCTGTGCAGGACTCCATAGAAAGGATGTGATAAGGTTGATTAATTGCTCTTAAAAAGTTCTTTGGAAGGAAGAGAGCCACGGGGTCTGGGAGGCCGAGACCACGGGGTCACTGCCGCCACTGCACATCCCTGCAGTGGCGGCAGCGAAGTCTGGCTGGCTGTAACGGGGCTGCAGAGGGCAGGGCTGTGGCAGCAGCAGGCAGGCACAGGAACGTGGCAGGCAGCAGCAAGAAAGGACATGGGAGAAGCCTCAAGGAATAGCTACAGGAGTGCCCCCTGCTCCTGGACTGCTTCCCAAAGGAACAATAGAGTTTGCTTATCCAGAGGTGGAATGCGCTAAAGCCCAGAATGCTTGGCCCCGTGCCTGACACAGAGGACAAAGAAATACAGTCCCAGCATGGACGACCCTCCCCACACACACACCTGCAAGCTGCCTTTCTTCCTTCCCAGATCTGAGCCCCAGAAGGTCCTCTTTCCTCATTCTTGGCGGGCTTACCTCTATTTACTTATGAGGGACCCTCTCCCACATCCAGCTTCTCAAGAGCTTCTATAACCACAATAAAGCCCCCGGGTAAGTTTTAGGTGTGCCTTTCCCTCTCCTCAGCATCTCCACTGCACCCAGAGGCCTGCCCCAGACCATGCGTCTGGAAACTTTGGCGCCCCAGGAACCCGAGGGTACTGGCCAAGGTGCTGAAAAGTCCTAGCTCTTTCCTCGCGGTGCTGTATGCGCTCTCCTCTCATCCTCATCCTACCTGTCCATCCCAGCTCCAAATTCAAGACTTGCTCCTGCCTGAAACAATCTCAGTCTAAGTGTCTGTCAAAGGCTGATCTCAGAGAGAGCCAAGCCGGGGGGAGCCACCCCTGCCCTCAAAGCAGCAGCCTCCACCTCTCTTCCTGTCCTTACCACAGGCTCTATCTGTTCTACCAGCCCCATCAAGGACAGCCCCCTGCAATCTGACCACGGCAGCAGCTGTCAGGGCCTGGGGCTGCACTTGACATCCTGATCTAACCATATTCTCGAAGAGGAAGCAGGTTGGAAGTTCCGCATGCTTGCACACACCTGCACACAACATGCACACACTCAAGTTCTCAATGTCAGCCTGGAGCACAGAAGTGGTTCTTAGATTTCATAGAAATCGCTGGTTGGGATGTCCCCAGAAAAAAAGCATATACACATGCAACCTTCCGCAGGGGCTGGGACTGGGTGGTCCTTCCCCTGGTTCCTCCCCTCAGTTGTAACCTTTCTCCAAGGAGTGTGGCTCCCCTAAGAGATTCCCAGGCAGGTGGGGATTTGACCAAACCACAGTGTGCTTTTATAAATTCAGTTATTCTTACAGATCATTTTATTTTTTTAATTACTTGTAGCGCACACGCTTGTGCACAAGTGCCCAAAAAGCCTAGGAAAGGGTGTCATATAAACCTGTAGCTGGAGCTACAGGCAACTATGAGGGGCCTGACATGGATGCTAAGAACAAAACTCAGGTCCTCTGCAAGAGCAGTATATGCTTTTAACCACTGAGCCATCTCTCTTGACCCTCTGTAAACTGAGTTTTGAGGACTCTTCAGGAGCTGTGCCAGTGAGGCTGGACCAAGGTACAAAAGGGGCCATAATCATACTTAAAGCCACCCGTCAATCTCAAGAACTAAGCACTTTTTTGTTTTGTTTTAAATTTATGTGTATATGTGTGATGCTGCATGAATATATGTGCACCACATACCCGCAAGAGTCCAAGGAGGCAAGAAGGCATTCGATCCTCCAGAACTGGAGTTGAAGGCTGTTGCAAGCACATACGGGAATGAACCCTGGCCTTTGCAAGAGATCCTCTGCATGCATTTAACTGTTGGGCCATCTTTCCAGTCAAAGGACAGAACACCTCTGTTCCCCACAGGCCTCCTGCCCTCTCTCGTCTTCTTGAACCAGGACAGGTAAGTCCCGGCCCCTGCCTTCTGCCTGTCGTCATATACTCTGGCCAGGCATACTGACAGTGTGCACCAAGAATGCAAACAGAAACAGGGCTGTTCCTGCTCCAGTCTCCCTATGGCTGCTTTGAATTCAACACACAGACTTGTAGACTGTCCACATTAATGCCCTAGCATACAAGTCACACATCCAGGTCAAGGCACACACCAACCACGCAGGAGGAGCATACTAAACTAGAAATCATAAAAGCAGAGTGGGATTCCAGGAAGTACATGCATGGGCACACATTTATGTAATCACACAGCCCTGTAAAACATACGCACACCAATGTGCCGGCTCTAACGTGGAATTCCCCTTGCCCACCTCCCAGGGAACTTTCCCCATCTACTGAGCTTTCCGTTACCCTCTGCAGTGTACTCTCACTCCTCCATGCCCAGTGCAGCTGGTTCACTGTGGCAGAATCATTCTTTCCTCTTTTTCCCCACCCAGGGGATTCCTAGGACACCTCTGGCTTCATTTCCCAGGGCTGCCATAACAAATTCCCACAATCAGGTGGTTTAAAGGCAACGGGAATTTATTCACTGGCAGTTCTGGAGGCCAGAACCCTGAGGTCATGTCAGCAGGGTGAGTTCCTTCCTGAGGGCTTTGGGGGAAAGGTCTGTTCTATGCCTGAGTCTCAAGAAAGTTCTAGCTCTTGTCTAAGTTCACAGGGGGAGTCAGGGAGCAGTCACCTGTTGGAGAATATTATTTTAAGGTGTGTTACTTTTGTTTATGTTGCATTTGTTTAACTCTGTGATGCTGTGTTACTGTGCCTGTGTAAAACACCTGATGATCTAATAAAGAACTGAATGGTCAATGGCGAGGCAGGAGAAAGGATAGTCAGGGCTGGCAGGCAGAGAGAGGAAAAATCTAGGAGGAAACGAAGAGCAAGAGAACAAGGAGAGGAGGACACTAGGGGCCAGCCACTACAGCCACACAGCCAGCCATGGAGTCAGAGTGAAAGTAAGATATACAGAAGTAAGAAAAGGAAAAAGCCCAGAGGCAAAAGGTAGATGGGATAATTTCAGAAAAGCTGACAAGAAACAAGCCAAGCTAAGACCGGGCATTCATAAGTAAGAATAAGCCTCTGTGAGTGATCTATTTGGGAGCCAGGTAGCGGGGCCCCCAAAAGAGTAAAAACCAACAACAACAGTCACCTGAGGCCCACGACCTTCAGGAGTTTCTGGAGACTGGACTATCACCTCAGTCTTGCTTCTCTGGCCATGTGGCATCCTCATCACCCTGTGTCTGTAACCAGATGTCCTTCCAGAAGCACAGTGGTTGTTGGATTAGGATGTCCCCTCATTCAGCATGACTTCATCTTAAATTGATGGTATTTGCAAAGGCCCAACTTCTACATAAGGTCATGTTCACATGCGTTAGGAGTCAGATGAACACATCCTGGGAGGCAGGGGGCAGTTCAATTCCCAACAGACTCCAAGTCTTGTCCAATTTTCCCTTTCTTTGTTAGCCCTTCCATGTTCCCTCTCCCTAGACTGACTAAGCTGTGACTCTGCCATGTACTCCCTAATCATGGTACTTCATCTGCTTCAACTTGCTGGGGGCTGTTAATTTTCAGATAGGGTTTCCATATGTAGCCCAGGCTAGCCTTAGATTCATGATCCTCTTTATTCTAGTTCTGTAGGGATGGGATTCCAGATACATGTTGCCACATGTTGTTACTGCTCCTCTAGTGGTCTCATTCCTAGCTCTGGGGTTGGACAGTCTATTTCATACTCAATTTGTCCTTAATATCTGGTGAATCACATTATGTAGGAACATGGCACAAGTATGTGAGCCATTTTGATGCATATGGTCACCTGCAACCTATATATATACCAGACACATATATCATATAGACACATGGGCACAAGTAAACCTATACACATGTGCATGCCAGTCCTTGAACATGGTCTATAGGGTTCCAAGTAGCCAGCCAGTATTGGCTGAGTTCCAAGAAAGCACACCCCTTCACCAAGTACAGTGGAAGAGGGTCTCCTGCCCTCAAGAGGCTGATGAGCTAACTGGGAAAATAAGACTAATGCATGACAATAGATCTTCAGAGTCCAGTTCAATTGTGTAAGCCATGAGGGCAGGAGGCTGGAGCTCTTGCTGGTTGGAGCAGTCAGGAGATGCCCCAAGGAATCGGTGAATGCCATCCACCTTCCCGTGTGCCCCAGGCTATGGGGACAAGTGCAGAACTCAAGCACCTTCTAGAAGGGTAGGCTTACGCCCAATGATTGGTCCCATGACCTGGCTGGCCCCTGGGCCTTTAGACTGTTGTTCTTTGCTCTTCCTCAGGGAGTGATAGGTGATAGGCTGGCAAAAAGCTTTTGTGATACCTTTGTTGGCAAAGCATCCTCTGCCAGCTTCCAATGGGAAAAAAAAATGGCTAATGGATGGGAAGAAAGCTCCATAGAGCCTTCCCAATCCCAATGCTCTCCCATCATAAGGTCCCTTAAGATGGTCTTCTAGGATGCTAACTCCCTGCTCTCAGACCCCAGCAGTGGTCCTTTTCAGCTGAAGCAATGGAGGTATTCGGGGTGGGGGTGGAAAGTTGTCCCAAGAGTCATGTCCAGGAAGTGTTGTACCATCTCAGAGCTCTGGAGCCAGACAGATTTCCACTCAACCCCGAGCTCTCTTCTTGCTGTGTTTTCTTGGTCACATTCTTAAGCTTTCTGAGCTTCCATTTCCTCAGCAGCAATCACTGTAGCACTGCCCACAAAGACTTCAGTGACTCTATTCAACACACAGGAGCTGTACATGACAGTCTGAATTCTCC